TTTAGCGACGTTTAAAATTATTTTAAAAAAACTTTTGCCACTCAATGAATCGAAAATCGTGATTAATGGCCCAAATATGCTAATAATTCCACATTTCCTGAAAATGTCCTCGTTTTTTCATATGTGTGCATTAGCTTAGCATATAATAAGCACATCGAAGCAGTTTTTACCGAAAATTTGTGTTTGAAACGTGAAAAACGTCAAGAAAATGAAGAATAACGAAAATATTGTGAAATAGAAAGTATGTACTTTAGGCCAGGTCGCCAAGCTGTTTGGACACTTTTTTCAAGTGGCGACAAGCAGATTCGTAATCTACAGGCTTCAAGCTTTAAAATGATACCAAGAAACCTTGGCCACCCATGGGGYGCAGCCAACTTGAAAAATTCTGGGTTTAGCTTCTAGACTATAGGTATATAAAAGGTAAACCAGCACAACTAATACCATTAATAATTGACCTGCTATAAAAAGAGTTGCAACATGTATATAAAATAGACTAGGTTTGTTTTCAGCTACGAGATTGCCGTTCGCACCGAAACCATCATGGTTGGAAATCAAGCCTAATATCTCTATAGCTGCTGGAATTTCCAATTTAAGACCTCAGATTGGACAAGGGCTATAGAAATTAAGTTCTTCTGGAACTATAATTTGGTTGTTATGTGGCCGGGTAGCCTGTATATGTGGGTCCCGCAAGGGGACTGGGGCGGCCACGAGGGCTACCTGGTGTGAGAGAGGTGCGAAGAGCCGCCATGTTGTAATATTGTTGATAAGTGTTTATGTAATAAAAGTACATTAAGTGGAAATACCTGGGCCACAATTATTTCATAGAGAAAAAAACTTTTCCCCTTCAAATTGTTATACTCATTTTCATGATTACATGCCCCAGACAAAGAGGAATATTTTTCAAAGGATTGGGTATTTGGCTTCTGTCAATGACATTTTCTACAGTTTTGAATTAATGATTTATTTGAATGACAGATGCCACAGTAACATAATATTATATAGGTGTGTTTACTGCAGTGAGCGAGGGGTCCCCCTATCTCCATTACAAAAGACACGGTGGCCATGTTGTTTGATATAACAAAAGAATTCATTGACAATTGTTTTCCCATTTTTTAAAAAGAATTTTCAATAATTCTTTTGTTAAATTCAACCAAGATGGCAGCTATGACATAATATATCATGTGCAAGCAAACAAAGAATATCACCCAACAAATAATAAAACAACCACTCACCCTGTTTCAGGATAAGTTGGATACTGACTTGATATCAATTCCCCTACATAATACTTCTCTAAGACTCTGAAAAAGAGCATTAACAAATAAACATCCTAGACAGTTTTATAAATATTCATGAGCTCCAAGTTGACAGATCATACGATATTTTAAAAATATTTCCGGCTAAATTATTTATAGTTTAAAAATACATTTATAGAATATTTCAACTGCTTATATTTTTAATATTTGTTTATAATATTACTGGTAGAGGTTTGTGATTCTTTTTGTGTTTATTTCGAAAAGTCTTTAGCTAATTGCTTATGCTAATTAAGTGATCATAAAATGTCATGTTATGCAACTTACCTAGGCGCATTTTCACTTAACGCGTGGTACGACTCAAAAACCATAGTTATGTCCTTTCCAGCTGCCATTAATAGCACGTCTCTTCCACCTGGATGACGTTCAATGAACTGACTCACATCATAAACCTTAAAATCGTCAAGAAATGATATTATGATATTCAACAGTCGTATTCTAATTAAAATTATTGGTGCTTTCGTGCCTTTCTTGTCTTTGCTGAAATTACAAGTTATTTTTCACATTTAAATATTTCAAGAGATAAATATTATAGACTTGTGTCTCCTAGTAATGTATGGGAGCAATCAGGCCATATAATTTGACTGAGTATATCTTAAATTGACTAGAGAGAATGTTCAGTAACCATAACAGCCCACCTTTCCGCGTACTGCTACTAATGCATCTTGATGTGTGTTGTGTTGACCCAGCTCTTTCCATGTGAAGGTTTTCTTAGTCATGTTGGTTTAACAAGGTTTAAATTAAGGGATGATTTGTTTCTTGGTGTTTGTAATCCTGCTGCCCGGCTAAGTGCTGAAGGTGTGCTTTACTGAAGCAATCCAAGTCCTTGCAGATAAATATAGATCTTTTGCATAATGCTTAGTACAGGTAACAGTAGTAGCTTGGTTCGTTGTCATGCGTGACCTGATGATCCAAAGTACGCGTTTTACTAGCGTTATTTCTCTTGAAAAAAAAAATGGTATTCCTTGATGAAGAAGCAATGAAACGATATGTTTAGGAAAAATTATGAATATAGAAAATTTTAACAAATGAATTAAAATTATACATGAAACATCATATTCTTCTACATATCATCATCATTTTTGTATTTTTTCCTTACGACTCTCTCCTTCAGTATTTACTGCACCTTGTCAAATAGCATATCTTCGCTTAGAATTCATTGATCAAGGTTTATGAATAATTATATGACAAGAATATTCCATGTCTAACTATATGGATCCATTTCTGATGTAATCCGCAGTCCTTTTCTAACTCTGCCATTCCAAACATTGTGGGGCACCTGTAACCCATCATGCTTTACGGTCTCATATCGACAAGAAAAAGATGGCGGATGAGTAAAGGTGTGAAATGTCGACAAAATGGCCCTCTAGACACGGTAAGCAATATCTAGGAACTTTATAATCCACCATTTTTAAAAAGGGACATCCATATCTTACTTTCTAGATGTTATTTTGATGGAGTTCTTTGGTTTTTCGCTTAGTTTGAAAGCATTTTGTTGCACACGTGTGTTCGCTGTTCAGAGAAAAGTTGGCTAAACTGTCAGCTGGAAAAATACACGCTACGTTGCTTGTGACCTCATCTTTGCTGTCTTATCTTTCATAAATACTCGAATTTGAAGAGAATTTTGTGTATTTTGACAGTTTTGAGAATTTAAACACTGACGGCAGATTTTTCTGTGTTGTATGCGTTAATAATGGAGTTTATTTATGAGTGGGGAGGGGGGGAGGGGACTTAGTTCCTAGCTTTGCTGCCCATTATTTATTATATGATGTTCATTTTGAGAGTGGAAAAAAATAGGCTTATTTGAGCGAAAACGTGAGAAAATTACTTTCACTTACTGTGGGTGCACACAGTACTAGTGTAATGTCATTACAAAAGCACCAAATGTTTCTGGTTTTTCCCCAGTTTTCCAAATGTCATTTTTCAATTTTTTTACATAAATTGTTTTTGCAGTTGTTGATGTAACCCCTCTTCTGATATGTTGTGAAGCCAATCATGTTCTTTTTGCTTAGCAGAATGTTTTTGGAATGTTTTTTGAAGGCAATAACAACAGCCTTTTCTCTTTGGCTTCCATTTTGGAACCCCACTTTTTAAAATCTGCCACTGGTGTGGTTTGGTTTTTTTATGCATAAGGCATGTATATTCAGTGATGCAATACATAATGAGTCATATATTTTTGTTGTAATGGGGGTCTGTGTTTGGTGTTTGGGTCTGGGTCTTTCAAGCTGTGTTGGCTGGTGTCACTAAAATTGTGTCAGGATGCTTAAGGACAATGTTGTTAAAATTATGCATAATTTTTAATCTTTTCTTTTTTATCTTTTTGCAGTGAGATATTTTTATTGCTTRAACTGTGCTTTGGTAATGGCTGGCATGCTTTAACAAGTGTATTAATGTCAACAAGGAACAGGATAAAATCCATGGACTGATAAAGGTCATATGAGTTATTTTTTGTTGCAGTATGAATTACCTACTTTTACGTATGAGAGCTACTGTATCCAGACTGAGAACTTGGCAAGCTATTCAAAAAGTGAATTGGTTTTCCAGGTTTTATCATGTTATCCAAATTATACACAACATTCTTTGCTTTCCAAAACAAAGCTCTTGTATGAAAGTAATATATTCATAGCATAATATTTATGTGTGATTCATGGTTCCAACTCCAACAATTATGTTACCAGTGCATTTGTTTTCTCCACAAATATCTATTCAACCAAATATTCTACTCAAGGATGCTCACAGATTGCAAATTTGTCAATCCTAAAACAAACGATAATTGTATATTATAATGTAATTAATGCAATTTTGAGATGTTCTGTCAAAACCTTCAAACATTTTGGACATAGCAATGTTTACTACTAACTAATTGGGATGGAACCATAAATTCCATTAAGATAACTTGAACAGGAGAGAAAATCTGTAGGAAAAAATATTTTAACCCAAAAATTGAACCCCTTGGTAATAAGGAAAGCTTGAAAATTAAAATATTTTATTCCAAAATTATTTATATGACTCCAGTGAGGTAAACAAAGTGGCCTTCAGTATGGGTGTGTGTGTGTGCGAAATTCATGACAAGAAAATTTTGACACAATAAGACTTCAAGGGACAAATTTTTAAGGCTATGAAATATGCTGGYTTGTGAGATTTCTATCATTGAATTAGAGGTAAGTTTTAGAGTATAGAAAATCAGTTATGATTATCCAACTTCGATCTACTATACAAAGGGGTAAGTAAAAAGTACATGTATGAAAAAGTATTAATAGTAAGTTAGAGATTGAAATAAATTTTTCGAAGACCATTCCAATGCCTTTGCAAGAGAGAAAAAACCAAGAAAAACTTTTATACACCTTGAAAATTGTATTAAATCATTTGCACTAACAATCACTTGACACTACCCCCTTAATATGAGCAGTTAYGTCAAAATTAACACCAGAAAAGAGTACCTAGATAAGAGTAGGAATGCAAAGTTTCAGCGCAATGCCACAAATAATGGTACATTTTTTTTGGATTTTGTTACATAAACTGTAGGTCTGTTATGAAACTTAGGCTTCTTCCAATCAGAACTATACATGTATTTATAAATTTTTTTTGATCATATGGATCATAGAATGTGAGTACTACTACAGTATTTCTGTACAGTTAGCCTTTAAGAAGCCAAATAAATATACTGTAGATTAATTAATTTTAGCACAGTTGTGTAATGTTTAATCACCTATAATTATGCAAGAAATGCTTTACTGCCTTAAAATATGAACAGTATTGATGTAAATTTGACTGCTTTACAAGGAAATGAWACATAAAGTTTTATTATAATGCAAAATTACACTTTCGAATTTTATGATGACGTACCTGTGAAAACCAAGAAAAGRTGATTTGTTTGGACAAAATAAGACCAATTAGTTTTCATTGAAGATCTTTAAATGTGTATGATGAAATTTGTGTTAGATAATTGGCTGCATGGATTTTTTCTGTCTGCCRTTGGTTTTCTCTGTTGTTTCTCCTTCATGGACCWCAATATCTGGTTCAATAGGTATTCTCGAGGATGTTTTCTCCTTGGTTTGCTTCTCATTGTTGTAGAATATCGAGTCAAAGAAGTCTGCAGTATGATCTGATAATAATATGTCTGCTAGGTTAGAAGGCAACAACGCAATGAGTCTGCCCATGTGATTCCTTATTGCGGTTACAAGGTAGAATTGGCWACATGGACTTGATCTGTTTAGTAATAGTTTCCTTTTGGTAGTAATTGTGGTACAAGTATCTTGAATCGTGACAATCGAATTTGCCTATGCGACCATACCATCACTAAAAAGGTATTCTACCCATCCTAGCACCATTCGAAAGTGTCGTCGTCAGCACCATTCAAAGATGGTTTGAATAACAGTACGGTATTCATTCACCAAAGTCTTCTATGAATATGATTGCAAATTACTCCTTAAAATTTCTTTGTTGTCAGTGCATACTGTACAAGTATTAGATAGAAATAGAAACCCTTATTTTGCAAAATTCAGGCTAGTCCCTTCAGAGGAAACATCTGTTATCAATAGGACCCCCTGTGTATCAGTGCTATGCTGCAATATGTATTTAGTGAGAGGTTGCAGTAATATCCAAAATGTCTTAGCAGGGATCATCAACTGCTGATGATGTAACATGCTTTCTTTTAATACGGTAGTGTATATGTACACTGTAAAGGTATAGACTAAGACTTCAAAGTTATATTTGCCAAACTAACATTCTACCAATACGCTATCGACAAACTACTRAACAGTCTACCTACAGTTTACATCCCACGAGGCTTAAAATGACATCATTGGTCAATATCTGGCCAGAATTGAAACTTGTCCACTTATTTTGATGTACAGTAATGCTGATCCAGAAACATGCCATAATGATCAGTGACTTACCATCGTCYTGATTTAAGCCCTGATTCCACCAACCTGTAGACAATACATGTGATAATTAGCTCTTTTACTTAGCAACTTGACACCTGTCTCACTGCGCACCACACTCTCATTGCCAGTTCATGCTTCTAACATCGACTACTTTAAATTTGGAGTCTTAGTCTGAACTTTCTATCATCCTATAATTGGTATTTTACATAGTTATTAGTCACATGTTTAACTCTTATGTATTAACACCTGTCTACAGTGAAATACTTACCTCTGGTGTACTCCTAGATTCAGTCAACACAGGATACAGGTAAATGATAATGGGATAGAAGGTGTAATAGCAAATATATATTGTTTCTTTTTGCTGCTTTTCTTGCAATCCTCATTTGAATTATTTTGCAGATTGATTTTTAGTTAATGTCATTAGACATTTCCAAAAAATAAATTTTATAACAGTTTTGCTTAAATTTGCTGTTTGTCAAGTTTGGCATTTTTCTTGAAATAAATTAAGATTTATGCATGTACAATATTGACCAGGACCTAGTTTAAAATATGACCACACAAACATCCATTAATTAAGTTGGTATCATGCATATCCAATCCTATAAATCATAAACCATGGATAACAGCCTAATATATTAAAATGATTCGCAGTGCGACTACTATGACTGAGGCCACCTAGACGAGAGAACCAAGTAAATGACAATGAAAATGAAAACAAATACATTAAACTTCAGGTAGTGGAGCCAGTGCATTGTCTTCATTCTACATTTTAATTGGCTCGCTGTCTTGGTGGCCCCAGTTGTAGTAGTCACACTGTAACAGGCCATTTGTTTTATGAAACCTCTTTACTACTACTACTACCAGAATGAGTGACAGATTTTCTTACTTTTTATTTTTTACTAATTTTGGGGAAAACCAGACAGTTGACAGTAATAATGAATAAACAAAAAAGCTTGCAAAGGATTCTGGTAGTGGTAGTAAAGATGCTTTAATGTAAGTGGCCTATTCATAATTATGACAATCGTAGT